TTAACCTTCAGGGTCAGAATCAAAGACTAAGGAAACACAACATGTAAACAAGACCTAGGGTTTCATAAGTTTCACTCAAAACCACTCAAAAAGCCTACCAGGAGCTAAGCTGAGGAAGAAGAATTCTCAGCATGAGCAAGAAGGTAGCTAACAGATACCAACATCAAGATGACACAGAACAGATAAATAAAAATGGAGTCATAATTGGCATGATGGTACACAAAGCCAGAGGGCAACACAGAGAGACCTATCTCAAAAACTAATGACAAACAAGCAAACAAACAAACAAACAAAAAAAAAATGGAGTCACTTGTGCCAGCCTTTCAAAAGTAACTAAAGAGAGTTTGGGCTTGTATGCATGACTGTCTGACACAGCTAGATGATTATCACTTTGGCTACCTGTATTCTGCTTTTGGTATAAACATATTTTTAGAATTTTCACGTTGGTCTAGCAACAAACATTCCCAGACAAAGGAGAGTTAAAGAATTTGTTGCTGGTTGACCTCTAAAGGCACAGCTAAATGAAGTTCTTTGGACAGAAGAGGGACAATAACAGAAGAAATCCTGAAGCATCAGTAAGAAAGAGCAAAGGAAAGGGTAAAAGAAGGATAACCACAAAGACTCCACCCCCATCACCTTTAAGTAAAAACTCAGAGCCCTGGCAAGACTTGAAGCTCCAGAAAGTGTGGAGAGGTTCCAAAAGTGTGGACAACTGTATCAGAAGTGGGAGGAAAGGCCCAGGGTGGCTCTAAGAGGATGTGGTAAGGCCCAGGGCTATGGTATGAGCATGAATGTTCAGCATGCAGCAAGCCCTGGCTGCACTCTGAGTACCATAAAGCAAGTTAGGTCATGTAACACCTCAGAGCACATATCAAAATCTCTGTGTAAGGAGACACAACCAAAGATACTATAGGCCAATCAAAACTGCACTCTACAAAAAAAAAAAAAAAAAAAAAAAAAAAAGGTTTCAAGTAACCCACAATGGCAGGAGAAAGGAAAACAAACAACAGAAAACAGGAATAAAAGGGCAGACTGAAGCCCTGACATATCTATAATTATATGTAATGGAAACAGTCTAAGCCACCAATTCAAAGATCGTCACAGGGAAAATCACATGCTAAATGCAGTCAGTCCACTGCATTCATGTCTCATATAATCACATAGGTAAGTTTAAACAGAGAACGGAAAAAATACACAAACACGAATCAAAAGAAAGCCAAGGAATTGAGTGCGCCTCAGGGTGTACAGACCCTGGGCTCTGTCCCAAGGAAATGGGTGGGGGCTGAGAGAAAGTAAGTCAGACTTCAGCTAACAGGGACAATAATTACGTGATGATAACTAGGTCAACCCAGGAAAAAGACAAAGGAATCCCAAATGCATTTGTACCCAATTACAGAAATGCAAAGCATGTAAGTAAAAACTGGCAGAACTGGAGAGCTTGTAGTGGTGATTTCAACTCCACCCTGACAGAATAGCATCAGAGTAAGCATTCCTTAAGTGTTCCCAGAACAAAGGGCAGAGTGGACCGCATCCCAGACCATAAGCACATCCCGACAAACATGAAAGACCAAGTGAGCCATCATCTGCACACTGTCAGACTGACAGAATAAAATACGTCCAGAGGTAGAAGACTAGACAGCAGGCACACACCGCTGCTGCGTGTAAACGGCTCAGCCGCCCGGGAAAGTTAACACAGTAAAATAGAGCCACCGCGGGCCGAGGAAGCAGACCTACACACTTAACCCCAAAAGCACGTTCGCGTAAAAACTTGCACGCGCCCACTTGCTGCAGCTAGAGGCATCAAGATGTCCTTCAAGCTCTTTGAGCTCAGAGGCCTAAGTAGGGTGATGAAGAGAATGTCCCGTTTGGAAAGCATGGACATGGCATACAAACACTGTGATGCTTCCATGACTCTAAGGTCTTCTGCCTTCCTGAAGTGTCTCAAGAAAAAGTGTAAATGGAAGGGCAAAGCTAGCAGGACACTGGGACAAATAAGGCATCTCATTTGGACACGGATCCCATTAAGGAACAACAGCTAAATCCAAGAGGACAGTTAATCCTCAAGATTTAAATGATTAATCATAAAAATGCATGCTCTGGTTTCAAAAACTGAAGGAAAAAGAGGGTCACGGCACAGCTACACTAGGAACACTGGTCAGCAATAAAAGGAATGGACTACAGTAAGCCATCACACAACTTGGACAGACATCAAAGGAATTACACTGGGGAAGAGGGAAGACAATGTCAAAGGTCATGTACTATACGGTTCTATTTATGTATCATTCTATTTACAGAGCTGTAGAAGGGATTAGTGGTTGCTATGAGCCAAGATGGATGGTCATCAAGGGCTAGGACAAGAACTCTGTGCAGAGGGAACACTAGGCCTTGACTGTGGTTACAAGAATTCAGTGACAAAGAGCCACACGCATGCTGAATCCTTATTCACTCATTAAAAAAAATGAAAACTGCAGGCCTGTTATCCAAGCACTCAGGGAGGCAGAGGCAGGCGGATTGCTGTGAATTCAAGGCCAGCCCGGTCTACAGAGTGAATCCAGGACAGCCAAGGCTACACAGAGAAACCCTGTCTCAAAAAACCAAAAAGAAAAGAGAAAGAAAACTCTTATGTGCATTATATGCCCTGGCACAGCAGTGGAGGTCAGAGGACAGCTCTGGGAGGCTAGTTCTTGCCTTCTACCTTGCTGAGGGAGGGTCTCTTTCCTGAGGCTGTAAACATCAGGCTAGCTGGCCCGCAAGCTTCCAGGCAATTCCCTTTTGCCCCTTCCACCTTTCTGTAGGGGTGTCGAGATTACAAATATGTGGAACCAAGCCAGCCTTTTACGTGGGTTCTGGGGGAGCAAACTGGGGTCATGAGGCTAGTGAACTAGCACTTTTGCCCCAAGCCATCTCCCCAGGCCTCAACCTTCTCATTTCGGTATGCTAGCCAGGTGCAGGGGTGGGAGCACCTGATGCACATAGGCCCTTCACTACCACTCTTAAAGCAAAGACAGCAAAATAGCTCCCTAGTTCATGGCTCCCAACTCTTCTTCTAGAAAGGCAGGCTATGACCTGCATGGCTCACTGGATTAGGGACTGGGTAGGGAAAAACCAGCCCCTCAATGGGCTCAGGGCAGTCGTGCCGTTCTGGGAATTTGAACTGAGAGATGGGCACCCACCAAAGAGTGTGTACTGGACAGCCCTAGACAACAGGAAACAAAACTAATCCTGAGGGGCTAGAGAGATGGCTCAGCAGTTAAGAGCATGCACAAGTGGCTCTTGCAGAAGACTCAGGATCAATTCCCAGCACCCCCATGGGTGGCATCGGTAATGCCAGTTCCAGGGACTCCAACACGCACACATATGGTGTATATACATGCATGCAGACAAAACATTCATACACATCAAGTAAAAGATATTTAAAACTAACCAAATCATGAAAACGAGGCCACAAGGCAAGCAGCAAGGCACTGTCTGCACAGAGCTTTCTAAAGTCAGACTCCTAGGGTCATGCCTATCATCTCAGCACGGGAGGAAGAGGCAGGGAGCTATGCGAGTTCCAACCCAGGCTGGGCTAGAGTAAGAACCTTTTCAAAACAAGGAGCTCGGAAGTGAACAGACCCACTTAAGGGGTAAGCCAGCTTCTGCTTCTTCCAACTACCAGTCCTCACGCACATGCTTAAAGAGGAAAAGGCAGCTAAGACTTGTCTCATCTTAATGCTATCAGAGCCTCACCGGTCACCTGACTCAGCAGCAGGTTCAGGGGTAGAAGTGGGAGGGAAGTAATTGGCTCTGCTAAAGACAGTTTAATGTGCCAAGTGTCTATGGCAGCTCTGGTCTGCCAAGGCAGACATCCACTACACAGCTAGACTGGCCTTTAATCCTATTCTTCTGCCTCTTCTTCCCATTTTTTTTTTTAAAGATTCTTTTTTTTTTTTTTTTTTTTTTTTAAATATATACAGCATTCTGTCTGAATGTGAGCGAGCCAGCAGACCAGAAGACACCAGATTTCACTATAGATGGTTGTGAGCCACCATGTGGTTGCTGGGAACTGAACTCAAGACCTTTCAAAGAACAGCCAGTGTTTTTTTTTTTTAATATTAATTACAGGTTATTTACTTTGTATCCCATCTGTAGCCTATTCCCTCATTCCCTCCTAATCCCTCCCTCCCTCCATCTCCTCCCTGCCCCTCTCTAAATCCACTGATAGGAGAGGTCCTCCTCCCCTTCCATCTGACCCTAGTTTTATCAGGTCTCATCAGGACTCAGCCAGTGCTCTTAACCTGGGCCATCTCTCCAGCCCCTGCTTCAGCCTCTTGAACCCTGGGATTACAGACTTTTGCTGGCGCATTCTGCTGTCACTCCCTTTGTAGGTGAGGAAGAGGTGCGGGCTCCTGTCTGTTCTGGGTTCTGAGAAGAAAAACCAGAAGGATCTAAGGGTCAAAGGGGATTGGGAGGTCCTTGCTACAGGTAAGTTAACTGGAAGGTTAGAATCCACTTAGCCACCTTTAAATCCTTATCTTGGGGTTAAAGGGAGAGCTTTAGAATTCGAACTTAAGAGTGCGCCTTAGGGGACAGGAGTGAAAGGTCCTACCTACAGGCAGGCCTACTGAGAGCTCCACAAAGGCAGCAGCGATATCTTGGCCTGGTGGGGAAACTGAGGAGGCCACATTCTCCTCACTTCCTAGGCTGGTCTCCATTTCTGGTCTTGCATCTCAAAACTCAAAACAGACACGAGCCTGAACCTCTTCCTCACCTACGAAGGGAGTGACAGCTGGATGTGGTGGCAAACGCCTGTAACCTAGCATGCTGGAAGCCGAAGCGCAAGAATCAGGAGCTAGGCCCGCTCAGCTCCCTGAAACCCGGTCTGTGTTTTTGTTCAGGCCCAGAGCACCTGACAGCAGCCAGCTGATCTCAGGCACCACCACTCTATCTGTAGTCTGTCTCCTCTGCACAGGCAATTCCAAAGCATGCAAAATCAAATGAAAACAAGCTGCAGCGCAGAGTTGAATGCTTTGTTTGTTTTTTTATTCTTTTTGCTAACGTAAGATCAGAACCATAACTCTGGCTCACTTCTATGAATTCATCCACCCCAAATTTTTACAGCGATACAACCAAAGGAAGACAAGTCTTTGCCCTCAGTGACGCCTTCCACGGGGCATATACAACCCCTCTGCTGTCCGAGAGTAAAGCCTTCCTGATCCTTCCACATACTCACAAGAGTACTACCTTCTGAGGCTACGCCCTCAAGTCTGCCACGAGGTGGGTAAGGTGAAGCATCTCTCCACATTCCAAGCAGTGCAGTTTGAGATGGGACCTGAGGATGTGATCTACAGCCTCCAGCCACTTCCTTGTTGGTGAGTTCCCTCCAAGGTGAAGGTCAGTGTACTGTAGCTCCCCTTCCTCAGTTCTGCAGTTCTTCAGGGTATGTAGGCCAGGCCTCAGAAGTCACCCATGGGATGCACACATTCACCACCAAAGCAGGATATGTGTTTTCTTTGGTTCCAGAACTCGGGGGCAGCATCTTTCAGTAGCAGCCCCTCCAGGGTTGTTCAAGCTATTCTTCTAAGTCACAAAGGGTTATTCAGGCCCCTCTGCCAACCTTAATGATTCCTAAAACTTTCCCAAAGCCCCAGTCTCATCCTCTCTTTTGGTGGTTATATGCTCTGACCTATGACATTATCAAGGCCCCAGTACTGGAGGCCTCTGCTAGATTCCATAGCTTCTCAAATTCATTGAGCACCTTCTGAATTTCAGAATACAGCCCCACTGTGAACCACTGCTGCTCCACAGCCAAGGTGTGGTGTGGAGCTTGGAGACCTCCTTACTCCTATCACACATCTCTGACCTGAGGCTCTTCAACACCATGTGTCCACTCAAATTACAGGTGAGAGGGCTTTGATGTAGTTGCATGTGGCCTGTGAACAAAATCACACTTGAGTTCCTTTCTTTTCTTGGCAGACACTTTCTAAGTATGAAAAGGAAAGGAGCCTGCTGTGGAACCAAACACAAAGCCAAACCCCACGCTACACCTGCACAGCGTAACAGGAAACAAGAGGCTCAGCTCCACCTCCAGGGCCCACATCACCAGAATCCATGATCTGTAAGGCTCAGGCCGGCACCAGAGCCGCACACAGTAGTCACTGCAACAACCTTCCTACTTCTAAGCAGAAAGACAAGGTTCTAAGGAAAGGAAACGAATTCCAATGCACAGTCTTCACTGTCCTACTGCCCCAAGCTTCCTAAAGCAGATATAGCATGGTAGCTGGTCAACCTGCCGCATCGCCGCCCCCAGACAGGGCTCTCAGGGATTCAGGGTCTCCCTTGGACAAGGTAAATCCCATTTCTCTAGCTACTCTTACATCCTCATATCATGCAAAGCTCCAAGCCCAAACTGTCAGCAGCACAGGGTCTGTGGGCACGTCTTGCCAATCATTTCCTCTGCTGTTCATCCCTCCTCTTCAGTCTTTTTGAACCCACAGGCTCTCTGGTACAAGGAAGTGTACAAACACAGTGAGGAAGAGGAAGGGGCTAGCTTTCTCCTGGTAACCACCGCTCCCCACATCTTGGAGCAGCTAAGGGCTGAAGGCCGACAGCCCAGCTCTCCCTGCCTTCATTATGACACTGCAGCCAGCAGTTCTATACTGACACTGGGGTCAAATTCCATCAGTGTTGGGCTAGAAAATCCAACAGCCCACAGGTGGCCAGTCCTGCTGGGGATCTGAGGAACCAACTAGCAGGCCCTGGATAGTACTCCCCTTGCTGTACTGTATCATCCGGTCTAACACTTTCTCAAGACCCAGAGGCCCAACCCCAAAGACAGCTGGTAGAAAGGTGACAATGACTGTCTTAAGGACATCTTCAGACACTCCAGACGGCTCAGCAGGACCACACGGTTCACCTTGAGGCAGCTGTCACCAACCTGGTAAGGAGGACATATTGCTGGCATATTCAGGGTGCTGGAGGCAGGCGCTGTGGCAGAAGAAGAGTGAAAAAGGGTCAAAGCTTAGCCAGGCTAGCCCCCTCCTTTGACCCAATCATCCCACTCAATCAAATGTAATGATCAATCGGAAGATCAATCGGAAAGAGACACATAAGATACGATACTGTAGTATCCATGCACTTAGCAGAACATGGATTCTAGAGTCAAAATTCTGACCATTCCTTAGGGTAAGGGCTCACTAGCTCATAAGCTCTGTGAACTTCCTTTTCCTCACTTGTGGACAGAGGCGGCAGCACCTGCTTCCTGGGACTGCTACAAGAGCTGAGTGAGAACTGCATAAAGCATCAGCAGTGTACCTGATGCTCAACCACAAACATCAGCTCTTGGCAGTAGTCCTCACACCCGAGGACAGGACAGGAAAGCAGAGGAAAGGACACGGGTACGTCACTAGACAGATCCAAAGGGAAATTTCCACAACTGTTCTGACAGTATAATTTTTAGGTCTTGGGAATTTTGGAGGCACGAAGGGTCCTAGACTGTTGAGCTCTGCAGCCTGGGAAGAGGGAAGCCAGGTGAAGGATGGCATCTGCTCAGCAAGTCTACCATGTTTCTACACTTCACACTTGCAGAACCCCCAGGAACACAGTGAAAAGGATGAAGAGAGTGGGAGGGAAGGATGAAGAAGCATCTGATCAACTCTCAGAGGATCCACTTCCTGCTTGCTCCAGGACAGAACTGCACCCAGGAGGTCACTGTCCTCATTTTAAGTGAGGATAATTGATCAGGGACCCCTGCAAGGCTGCAGTGAGGTGCACTGCCATGGGCAGCGGCTAGAGGAGGGCCTCCCAGGCTGCCGCCGTCACGGTGTGGTCAGGGGGGCACAGAGTGGAAGCATAAGCCAGTGTCCATTCTCAGAACTATGATACATGGTACAACATAACCTTCTTCCATTTGCAGCCCTTAGGTTTCAGGACACACAAATAGCTCATTCCCATCAAAGCAACATGCCACAGACCTAACAAAAGTTAGTTGGTACTTATACTCTTTCTTTAAAATCCATTCCATGGAGGAGCACCATCCTAAATAATCCTAAAATAAAGAAAAAGTTGAAGAAAAAAAGTAGAAGACAAGGTAGGAGAAGACAACAACTTCTACTTCTCCAAAACAACTTCCCACTGGTCTGAGTGGGCTGAGCATGACTCTAGGTCTCCTGACTCTGTCTCCTGGATGCTGCTATTACAGGCACTCACCACCTGATTGACTTATTAGGTGTATTTAGGGCTTCACGTATGCTAGGGAAGCATCTGACCATGCCCACCTCCAAAAAACTATGTTTTGTTTTTTTGGTTGTTTTGTTTTGCTGTTTTTTTAAAATGAGACAGACGTGATAGTTCCTGCCTTTAATCCCAGCACTTAGAAAGCAGAGGTAGGTTGATATCTCCGAGTCTGAGGCCCGTCTGCTCTACATTGTGAGTTCTAGGACAGCCGGGGCTATATATAGTAGAATTTATGTCTCAAACAACAAAAATTAGGTAAAACATCATTATCACATATAAAAAGTTTAACAAATGCTAGGCATGAGAACAAAGGCCTGTAACCCAGTACTTAGGAGACAGAGGAAGAACGTTAAAATAGAGAGTGGTCTGGGCTACTTATCTGAGGGCATGTCCCAACAACAAAGCAAACACTGTCTTAATATCAACAGGTATCCAGAGTGTTCAAATCTCCAACTGCCTCACAAATATAAAAAATGGATGGTTTGTTTTTAATCACTTACACAACTGTGTTTTTAAGGTCCCTGACTCTGTTGTCTAGCTTTATGTCAACCTAACACAAGATAAGAGAATTCTGAGAGAACCTCAATTAAGAAAATGCCCTTTCCCTCTGAGACTGGCTGGCGAAGCCTGTGGTGTATCTTCTTGATTTTGATAATGGAGGTGAGAGAGGCAAGCTCACTGTGCACAATGCCACCTGAGCTATTGGTCCTCTAAGAAAAGTAGGCTGAACAAGCAATTGGGAGAGCAAGCTGGCAAGGCTTCTGCCCTGGCTGCTTCATGTTGGACTGTGATCTGGACATGTGAAATGGAATAAATCCTTTCCTCCCTAAGCTTCTTATGGTCATGGGTGTTTTATCACAGCAATAGAAATCCTACCTAAGACATCAACTTAAATCAACCTCCATACCAAACTAGATAAAAAGACCCAAACTTCAAGAATCCATGCAGTTTTCTCAGAATCACACAGCTGAAACAAAGCCTAACCCAAAGAACATTGTACTATCTGCCGCGGTGTACAACAAAACTCAAAACTCTTCCAGCAACACACATATGAATTCACAAGCAAGAGTTGGAAGCAAAACCAAACAAAAACCTACAGGTTTATATTAGTAAATGGAGGCTAAAATCTCAAGCAAAACAGGAGCTAATGGAATGGATACGCTTCTCCTCTTAAACAGGCTCTTCTTTTTTCCAGTTCGTTCTCCTTTGATAGGGTCTTATTTCCTTTGTACATATAATAAAAGCAGTAAGAGGTCTATAAAGTGAGTCTAGGATAGCCAGGGCTCTGTTACAAAATCTCAGAAAAACTGTCTCACAAAACCAAAAACCAAAAAAGGGAAGGAGAGAATGTAGAGTGTAGACAAGAACAAGAAGGTGGCACAAGGCGCCTGGAAGACACTGCCCATCTGAGGGAAGAATTGAAGAAAACGAAGATGAGCTAGCTGGTACATGCCACCTAGATTTAAAAGGCTAAGCCAAGAGGGTCAGGTTTAAGGCACTGTGGGTTATGCAACAAGACCCTGTCTCAAGGAAATAAACCGAACAAATAAAAAGAAACCAACCAGACATACTGAAAACAACAAAAACAAACAAACAACAAACTACTGAATTTAGAATTCAGACAGTTGAATATTGGGAAGGTTCTTTAATGAATCATTTTAACTAAAAAGGAAGTGTTTATGTTCAGGTATCTCATATGGATGATTCTAACTAAAAGGGCTTGGGATCTGCATTTATAGACACCAAAAGGCTAGTGTAAAAAGAGAACAAAGCCACACAACAGAGCCACATGTGTGCAGTAACATGGAATATTAAACACAGGACTTCAAATGCTTTTTAAAGATGATTTATTTTCACCTTTAATGGGTGAAAATAAAATAAATTATAGCTGGGCATGTGGTACATACCTGTGGTCTCCCAGTGCTAGCAAGGGTAAGGGCCTGAGAGTCTGCCTACCTAGTGAAACATCTCAAAAACAGAAATAAAGATGGTCAAATATAAGGGCAATCTATACCCTTATAGGGAAATCTGTCTCAAAACCAAACAAAAATGGCTGGGTGTTGTTCTAGAAGATGTGAGTGTCTCAGTCAGTTTGAGGCCAGCCTGCTCTATATTACCAAGCTCCAGGCCAGCAGAGCTACACAATAAGACCCTACCTTAAAACAAATTTTTTTTAGCTCTATGCCTATAATCCTAGTTATGGGAGGCTAAAGTAGAATGATTACAGCCTTGAGAAAAATTTCAAAAATTCCATGAGACCATGTTTCAAAAATAAATCAAAAGGGAACTGGAAAGATGGTTCAGCAGGTGCTAAGTATGAGGTCCTGAGTTCAGATTCCCATTCATAAACTCTCCTGTGAATCCCTGTCTTCCTGGGAGCTTGAGGACTTCCCAATCTTAGCGCACACACAGGCAGAGACAGACACACACATGCAATGCAAAAAAAGGAAGAAAAAAGTGCTGAGCGCGGTCTACTTGTTTTTCAGAGACTGGCTCAGGAACTGCAGGGCACGTGCAGACTACCCAGCAGGTGCAAGGCAGGCTGGCCTGGTGGGAGGACAGGAGCTGGGCTCGCCCACAGATAAACAGCCTGCACACCCCTTGCTCATATGCAGATGAGCTGCCAGAACTGAGCTACTGGAGAAGAATGCAGTGTTGGACCAGGACTATGCCTCCCTCCTATCTCTGGATGGCTCCTCAGATCAACATTTTCAGATTAGGAGCACTTAATTTACTTTAAAAAGTCTTAATGAGGGTCAACTAAGAAGAAGTGATGGCAACTTCCTGGGTAAACCCTAAAAACCTAGCTATATCCTAAAGAAAGTAATTAAGACAAGCTCTGAGAATTAGCCTCTACTCAAAAGCTGTGAATGACAAAATGAGGAGTGGGAGGAGGAGAGGAAGAAGAGTGAAATACACAAACTACTATATCCAGCCATGGATGCACTTGACTATTTGCAGCCACCAGTTTTACACCTAAGGAAACTCAAAGAAATCTTATCTTGCCTTGCTCAAAGTAACTGTAAACCCCAGCGTCCAGATTTATCTAGGAGCTCACTTCCTAGGTCTGTCAGGCCAACTCACCTGTGAGCTAGACGGCAGCATCTGGGAGCTGGGCTCCTCGGATGGTGCTGCTCCTGAGCCCATAGGGCTTAATGTGCTGATTCTGCTTGGCTGGCCACGGAGCGTCAGGGTGATGGTGGTGGGGACCTTTAAGCCTATGTAAGAGACAAAGAGACAGAAAGACAGGGTATTGATTCAGAGCCTCTGTGTTCAGGTAACAGTTTCTTCCCATATAAAACTTCCTCTTGACTTCATTCCTGGGGGGGGGGGGGGGGGGGGGGGAGGTCTATGCTGTGTCAGTAAATCTGAAAGGCAGCAGCAAACAGCCTGTGTCTCTGCCCTTCCTGAGGGCAGGCACCACAGAGCTGAATCCAGACTCAAGGGCCATGTGGGGTGGGCTTACACCTATGTGAGATTTGGAAATACTCAGATCTAGAAGTCCTCATTATTTTCATGAGACTTACCTGATGCTTGGTTAGAAATCTGAGCCAAGCCAGGTAGGCTGCTTGCCAACTTAGCGAGGCCCCCATTGGTCAGCAGCTGGTGGATGGCAGTGGGCTTCCCACCAGGAGTGGCACCCAAGGAGGAGAGAGTGGTGGCCACAGGAATGGTACGGACAATGGTGCTTGTGCCTGTCGTGATGGCACCCAGACTCTGCATGGGGGCTGACAATTTCACGCCAGTGGCCTATTGAACATACAAGCAGATGATGAGAAGTCACCACCCACAGCAACACTGGAGCCTGGACAGCTACTATCAAAAGTAACATGCACAGCACCCACGGTGTTACGGTGCGCTTCCAGGAATTCTGCATGCAGTTTCTTTAACCATCACAAATGCATAAGGGAGCTAATACTATTATTTTATAGATGAAGAAGCAATACACCATAGATTATACTGCCTGGTAGCTTTTTGGCTGTGTATTGAGAAGGCTTTTCTGTCCTTAACCCATTAATGCCAGACTTAAATCTCCCACTCTGCCCAGTACAACAGGTGATATACCTGTGGGGCTGGCCCTGGGGAGGGACTTCCTGGGACGCCAGCGGTCTTGCTGCTAATATCCTGCAAGCTGAAGCTGAGGCCTTGGAGGAGGCTGCTGGCTGAAGCGGCCCCTAGGAGAGGACAGGGCAGAGAGCAGCACAGGTCAGTCACTTGTATGTACCCACAGGTGGCCACACTTTCACCCTTACCAACGACTCCCCTACCCTCAGAAAGATACCAGGGGAATCTTCACAGCACACATAGTAAATAGCACACAAGGAGAGGTGCTATGACAGACACTGCCTTGGATTTGCTCTCCATTCCCAACCTGTTCCAAGGCAGTGATACCTGACCACATTACACAGTTCAACACCCTCAAAGAAAAAAAAATCTGCTTAAAGGGAAGGTAGTTAATTCAGCAATGCCCTAACCCATGTGATCTAGCTATCAGTCCTTCCATGCAGGCTGGGCGCAGAAACAGTAAATGACATAGGTAAAACACATCTCATTTTGCTGATGTCCAGTTTAGCACCACCTCCAGTTCTGTCTAAACAGAGGTATTAAAAGAAGAGCAATACAGGCATTGCCCATCCTCATAGTTGAAGAAACAGCCCCCACAGATAGTAAAGACAAGAACTCTCCCTCACCGAAGCTAACTCTAGCTTCCCATTCACTTCTGCAGTCACCGGGACAGCAGATACTCCCTCCAGCTTCAGAGCTCCTGGTCTAACGCAACCCTCCAGCATCAGATCCAAAAGACTGCTGGGAGAGGAGGTGATGAGTTACCACTTACCTGGAAGGGAGCTGCCTGGAGAAGTGGCCACCAAGCGGCTCTGCAGTGTATGGATGGCATTAGGTGTGGCATTGCTGGAAGCCACAGACGGGGCTGCACTGGCTGTAACTCCACTTTCAGAAGAACCTGACCTGGAAATAAAGAAAGGAGCCCTGTCATCCAAAGGGCAGCAGCCACAGAGACCATCCAGAAGCAAGTCAGCAAGGAAGAGTTTTCTGTTTCTTCTTTCAGCTTCTAAGCCCCATCTCCATCCTTCTAAACACGAGTCCTAAATTACAGACTCAAGTCTTAGGTAAAGTCAGTTGGTACTCTGCAATCTCATACGGAAAAATGAACTCAGAACTGACTGAAATGAAAGAAAGCCCCCAAACAGAAAAATGTCACATGCCTGGAATGGACAGACTCCAGAATCTCTTAAACTTTTCCTGAACACCAAATGAACCAGAAGTTAAGTGCAGGGAAAGAAAGGTAGGAAAGGCCAAAGGCAGGCTCACTTGGCAGTGGTGAGAAGTCCCGTGAGTTCCTTGGCTCCTGAAGACCCCAGTGTCATGGTGATGGGCTTCCCTCCAGTAGCTGCAAAACAAGCCCAAGACCAAAGGTCAGTTCTAATTTGACCCTAAACCAAGGCTAAATTTAAGAGAGGGAGGTGAAAAAATAGCTACGCTCTTACAAGAGAGTTGGGGGCCAAAGAGGGAGAAAATCTGTAATGCTCCAAGTTGCCTCACAAGCAGTGTTCTATGGTTGAGACAATGTGACCACCACTTTTTCACCATGTGTAACCTCAGACCATCTCTGTTCCAGGTGTCCATCACACTGACAGAGGCTGGGCTGCCTGCTGGTAAGCCTTTACCAAACACTCCACAAGAGACTCACCTTCAGGCGTTCCACATGGCCCTCCAGCTGTGTCCCCTTGGGAGATCAGGGACACTTTGATCTTCGGTCGCTTGGAGGGCTTTGCGCCAGGAAGAGGACTGGAAGGATGGTGCCGCTTCAGCTGGACCCTAAGCTCCTCTTTATCAGCTTCCTCCACTGGTTCTGATGAAATGGGAACTAAGAAATGGAGCTGAGGTAAGAGCTCCCATAAGCTTATAGATATCATAGGTCAAGCCAGCCAGAAGCAGCCATGTGGGGGATGCACAGGAGAAACACTCCAGGTACAGGTTACACCTCAATGTCTACCTTGGCTCCCACCCCCTGTGGAACCTACTTGGAGCATCTCAAGATAGTCCAGTCCATTTCATCTGCCCTGGAGTGGGCAGAGAAGGGGGGCCTGGAGCTGTTGGGAACCAAAGGCTAAAAGGCAAGTTGATGCTGCCTAGCAAAACCACCACCACCAGAGAATAAAGCATAGCGTCTCTCAGCACTTTCCGTACTCAAGGGATGTGACCACTTCCTTGTTATACGTCTTCTCCCTCGCTGTGAGGAACATATGGAAGGCGGGCCACCTACTCTTTCTGCAAAAGGGTGTTTTCACAGGACTTCCAGGAATCTCCATCATGCCCTAGGTGCTCAAGGCTGAGGGGTTTGCGTGTCCAATGGAGGTAGGGCAGACTGTCATCATGACTTGCTGGCTCTCAGGAACTACCAGGTGAGGCAGCATTTTAGCTGCTGCCAGAGACAACAAAGCAGTAGCAGCCCATGTCACAAAGAGGACTGGGGATATAGGCTTCCATTAACTCAAACAAATCACTGTGCATAAAGGCAAGCTTTCTGGACTCCATAACCTTGAGGCGTTCTCAGTTTTTCTACTCTTTACACTCAGACCTCTCCTCTCTTCAAAGGCAAACAGACTAGTAGGGAGAAAGACAGCAGCCCAATGAACATGGGGGCTTCCTGACATGGGGCTACAGTGAGGGAACCAAGGACTGCTCGGGGATGAATGTACTGGCCAAGGGCAAAAGAGAAAGGCAAGCACTGGAAGAGGCTCCTGTGTCTGCAGCAATCAGAACAGAAACAACCAAGGCAGGGAGAACACAGACAAGGAAACACAGGGTCACAGGCAGACAGGAGAGACACAGAGCCAAGCAGCACGGCAGAAAAACCACAGTGAGAAAGCAAAAACACCACCAAAGAAACCAAGAGAAAGAACTGAGAAAAGCAAATGCCACTGCATAAGCAAGGGGAACTGGTAGAAAGAGGAGACAAAAGAGAGGAAAAGAAGAAACAAAGTGGAGAGAAGGGGAAACAGTGAGAGGCGGGGGAGGAGAGCAGCAAGCCTAGGCGAGCAGGTGAAAGTGATACTCACCAAAGAGACAGGAGGAGGCGCCGGGAGGAAAAGCTTTCCTCACCAGCATGTTTTGTTTCAGAAAAGCAGCAAACTGTGCTGGAATGAATCAGAAAGAATTATAGAATCACAGCCAGGTAGAGAATTGAGGAACAGAGTGGGAACGAGGAAAAGATGAAAACGGTCACTTGCTCTTTCTAAGGAAACCACATGGCTCTGGAACCTGACTTTGCTGTACCACAGGGGGTCATTGCCAAGCCTTAATGAGCTAGAGCAAGTCAACTCCAAAGAGAGGGGCAGCAGACAGTGAGGGCTCTGTTTATATTAACTACTATTCCCCACCTACCCATCAGCTCTGTCAAAGCCATAGTTTTATGGCTGCTGCTGTCCCCACTGACACTTGGTCCCATCCTAAACCCAGCTTACCATTCAGCCTTCCACATCACCTTAGTTTCTCCACTAAGCATGCTACCCAGAAATACAGCAACCCATTGGTTCTTCCGTTACCAAATTTCTAAGGGACTCCCACCAGGAACTCGGCGTGAGCCACCACTTACAGAGCACTGACACAGAGCCCAGGGCGCCTAGCCTCTTTTGTTGCCTTCATCCATCCACTCACACTTGTTAGTGGAACTTCCTAAGAAGCCTGGGTTTAAGTAATAATCCATTGGCTCCATTAAAAGCAAAAAGGGAGGTAAGCAGAGGACCATGTGGTTGTGGAGGGAGCGGGGAATGGAATGGACCAACATAATGGACAGAGCTAAACCGATGCCTTTTTTTTTTGACTCACTGACTTTCCCCTTTTCTACAGCTCCTCACATAGCCCTTGGATCCCTTCAAACCCTGATTTTAACAATATAAATGTTTCTAAGCCTTATCTAAAGTGTAACTGCAAAATCCCAACCAAACTGTAGATGTCCCATCATGGAACTCTTCAAGACCAAATCAAGGAAGGGCAAGGTGAGCTAGCCTAGAATCTGAGGAATAAAATCTGTCACCCTGTGCTTATCATCTGGAATAAGAAAAAAAGCCAGACCACTACACATAGCTTATAAGTTCAATGTCTCCAGCACACCAAGACAAGGCTGTGACTAACAACCACAACGCCTAGTACCACACAGCCTTGGGATTTTGTCTAGAAACAATGAGAGCCTCCCACACTGCCCCGAGAACACTGCAGATCTAATACTTCCCAACTGCCACTAGCTGTAGGAGACAGACCCCACTGGGGTTGCTGGGCCAGGAGACTGACTATACCTTGGGCTTGTTTGTGGGTCAGCACAGCTTCCGTTCTCTGCACATGTCTTTTCAGCAGCTGGGGAGTTCCAATCTGACTGGACTTCTGGACAGAGGCGACTGTGGTCACTTTGGTCTTAGGGCTAGAGGTGGGGCTGCTGGACACACTGGAAAGATCCTGGATAGAGAAGGTCCAAATAGATTTGTATCCAACCATCATCTGGCATGACCCCCGGGATCTCCCCTTACAGGTGGCATGACCCCCGGGATCTCCCCTTACAGGAATTCCCAGATACCCCTACAAAAGAAGACCCAACTATGCGTCTTCAGATATCAGCAAAGCTACCCTTTCCTGCCTGAACTACCTCTGAGCCTGAGGGGGATGTGGGGAGCCTGGCAGCTGGGGAAGCAGGTCGACTGCCTCGCTCAGGAATTTCGAAAGCCAAGTCTCTTCGGGCCAAGTCCCGGGGCTTCTTCTTCTTCTCAGCATCCTGATCCCGGGGCTCAGAACCCACATGACCCTCAGCACGGGTGAGCACCCCAGTCAGGAAGTCCACAATCTCATCCTAGTGTGAAAAGAAGCCATGGATGTTATGGATATAAACACGTTTTTGTTTTAATCCCAGGTGTGGGATATGGGACTGATCCAGACTGTACACAGCAGCTATTTGCCTCGTGTGGGCTTTGAGAGGGGCTCTTTGCCAGTTGAAATTAGTTGAATTCTGAGGACTTGGAGGGGTATAAGTATGAGGAAGAAGCTTGTGGCTTGGAGAAATCGGAGGAGGACTGCTTGCTGCTCTTGCTGGCTTGCTGGTTACTTGGACTTCCTCATGACAGATACTGGTATTGGCTCCAAAAGAATCCCATGGCCCTACCAAGCAGAAAGAAGAGGGCTACGTCCCCTTTTCCTTACAACCTTCTTTTTCCCTTGCCTGGGGTTAGGGAGTTGGAAGGGAGGTATACTTTATGGAACCCCCAAATAAAGTAGCGCCTACACAAAGCCTTAGTCCTTCTCTGGAGAATAGGACCCTCCAAGATAGCACCAAGCTAAACAGAACTCTACTCTCAAATGATGGTTGTTCCTAATCACAAAGCCACACACGGGCCAAGCTTCTTAGCTGCTATCCTTGCAGAAGACCAGCAGGGGCCTATGTGAAACTTCTGGGCATACTCCACCCCTCCATTCTGTGAGATACCTCACCCAAACCTTACTTCACCTCGCCTTTGCTCCTTTTCTCCTTCTTTCTCCCTTCTTTGACTGTGATTTGGTATACCACAGAGCCTACTTGAAGCCCTTCACGCTCCAGAGCGAGTAAGGCTGCTGCCAGTAAGATGAAACCTAAACACAACAGAAATGAGGGCCGAGCTACAAAACGCACGAGAAAACTGTTTACCTGAATACATCTGTCCACCATGCTTTGCGTTAACCCTTCTGACTTCTTCTTTGCTTTGCTTATTCTAAGAAGCAAAAAAGAGAAACAGTAAGGCCAGTGAGATGACTGAGTGGGTAAAAGCACTCAGAGAATGCATGATGACTAAGTTCAAACTCTGCAACCCAGAGTGAAAGGAGAGAACTGACCCTGAAAGTTGTCCTCTGACCTCCACACACATACCAGGCTCCCATGTCCTGGTTCATGTTTATCTCCTTCATATACATGTCACAGAGAGTGAGAGCGAGCAAGTGAGTGAGCGCTATAAAAAACTTTTTATTTATAAAGAGCCTGTCTAAAAATAACAAAAACCTGGTTTCTGAGTGAGGCTCCTGGCAAAGAGAAAACCAGGCCCCTAAGCTATACCACAGAGAGCAATAGTATTGAAACTATATTTACTCCAAAATAAATTAATGAGGCTTAATACAAATAATACCTATGTTCACGTTGATCCTCCAACCTGAGTCGTTTAGGAGCCACATGGTTTAAGAGAAGAATTAACTCTTACGAGTTAACCCCTGACCTTCATGAAGTGTTATACATGGGAACATCTGCACAAACAAAATCAGTACTAAAACTCTAACTTAAAAACCAGAAAAAGATTTTTTTAGCCAGGTGTGATGGTACACACCTTTAATCCCAGCACTCGAGAGACAGAGGCAGGAAGATCCCTCAGTCTGAGGCCAGCCTGTCTACCTGAAGAGTTACAGGATAGCCAATGCTACAAAAGAGAGACTCTATCTGAAAAAAATTTTTAAAAATAAAATGAAAAATGTACTGTAATGAATGTTTGTTTCCAAAGACAAGAGTCTTATTGTTTTCTTCCGATGGACTGTAGCTGACCTGATCTTAACACCATCATTTTGCAGATGAGAACAATGAGTTACAGAAGTTAAGCAACTTACTCAAACCTCTACATAAAGGAATTAAGACTAATGGAAGTTTCCCAATTTTTAGTAAAATGATCTTCCAACGATGTCCGTATTTCATAAGCAGCACCACAAACCAACAGCCAGCATTCCCATCCTTCCCTATTCCCTAAAAGCCACTCAGTTCACACACACACACCCCACACACTTCCATTCTCTGTGGATAAGATCATTTGAGTACCTACGAAAACAATGTGTTTACATGAAAACACCGCTTTAAACACCAACAATCAAGTGGTAAATGATGAGGCCAGGAAGACAACTCCAATATTCCAGAGGGAAAAAGCCACACACATGCCCAACCTGTCCAGTAAACATGAACAATGGAAGCTGGGCACACCCTGAATCCCAGCACTCAAGGCAGAGGCAGATGGATAGCCAGAGCTACACCGTGAGGCTGTTTTAAAAAACAAACAAAAAACCCCTACAAATAAAGGTGTCCTCTAAGACTGTCTTGGATGACCAAAGCTACAAATCACCTTCCCTGAACACCCTCCCCCCAAATTTTGGCTTTATTTATACTTCAAAATGTATCCAGTCAGTCTTAACCCAAGTCAATCTGCATTCACACTGATCCTCAAGAAATGCTTGATGACAAAGAATCTCAAAGCATGTTCTCCCCACAAGATGACTCTTAATTCCAAAGGGGAAACAGTAATTTCATAGTGGAGAACCCCACAACAGCTACCTCAACTGTGTGATCAAAGTTTTTTTCAGTAGTAATAAGGCAAACTGTATTATTTATCCCCGACAGAATACACTGAGAAGCTATGTCCTCTCAGTGGCATTCCTGATAACACTGAACATCTTCAACAGAATCAGAAGAAAATAACTGATCTGTTCCATTGCTATTTTTTTATTTTGTTTTTCCAGACAGGGTTTCTCTGTGTAACAGTATGAGCTGATTTTGAAACATGGATTTGTAAACCAGGCTGGCGTCGAACTCACAGAGCTCCACCTGCCTCTGCCTCCCAAGTGCTGGGATTAAAGGCCTGTGCCACCACGCCTGGCTGAAAATAACTGAAAGAACTATCTATAACTGGTCAGCTGTCCTCAACACTGTCAAGGTTACAGAAAACAAACACTGAAGACTGGGCATGAAAGTAAGGTCAGAATGATCATATTCAAGGTCATCCTCAGCTACATGGTAGATCTGAGCATAGCCTAGGCTACATGAAATCTTGTTCATCTCAAAACAAACAAGAAAAGGGAGAGAAGGGGAAAGAGGGAAAGAGGAAGAGAAGAAGGGGGAAGGGTAAAAAAACCCAGAGAAACTAAAAGTTAAGAGTTAATACAATCTGTGATCTTGGATCTTAGATCAGAAGAGATATTAGGGAAACATTAAAAATCTAAGTTTCTTATTTAGACTGGACAATGCTTTCAAATCAACACTAATTTCCTCATTTTGAGAGTTATATTTTGGTTATACAAGAAACTCTAGGTAAGGAATAGATGAGAGTTCAGATTTCTTGTACCAGTTTTGCAGATTTTGTTGTTTTTGAGACAGGTTTAAGGCCTAGGCTGGCCTTAAACTGAATCCTCCTGCATCAGCTTCCTAAATATATACACGAGGCTTATAGGATGCAACTTTTAATTGATACTTCAATCAAACTGGCCTATCAGTACTGCTGCCAGACAAGCATTCTTTTAACATTCTAACACACTCCTTCTCAGCTCAAGGGAAATGTACCCACCTGAGATTATCATCAGCTCCCCCAACCACCACCAAGCTATTTTCTGCTCTAATCTTTTCCCGGAAGTCCTCCATGGCTTCAGGGTGACACTGTAGAGAATTCTGACCAATGACAAAGAGGACTGGAGTCTTCATATCCAAGAGTGGGTCATCCACATCCTAAAAGAGGCAGCAGTTTAGATTTAGCCAGTCGGTCCTCAGGAAACACTGTCCTTGAAGCTGTCCAGAAGGCTCAGCTGTAACCTGCAGGAAGCCCCACCCCACCCTAGAGGCAGCATGCACTCCACTGTCCTGTCCCCCATTCCTGTTGTCCGCTATTCCCACTGCCAAAGACCAGCCAGCTTCATCTCACTCCTCGCTCTTACCCCCCGGGGGCCATCCACAGTAAGCAGAGGAAACCCAAGACAGACAACTGCAGCGACGTGCTCCATCACAGACACCTGTAAATAAGGACACCAATAAATAAGGCCACCGTTCACCTTTGGGGCAAATAAATCCACTGTAGCTCAGCCTCTCCAGGATGCAGGGGGCACTGGGTAGCCCTGACACACCCGTCAGCCCCAGCTTTCCTTGCTTGTCCTAGCCTTCAGTTTTGTCAGCCATGTCATGATTAGGTGAACGGGAACACAGGCAATCATCACCTAGAGAACTGGAGCCCTGACAGGACCCTCACATACACCTGTCATGTTCAGTCCTGTCAACAGGAGCCCTCTTTACTTTGTTACTGAGAACAAGCATAATCAAAAGAACAAATGTTGCCAGGCTGGGAGAATAGCTAGAGCAGAGCAGCACACTTAGCTCACATGTGCAAGGACTTGCTCCCATCCCCAAAACACACAGAGAAACACCCCAAAACAGAAAAAAAACAAAAACAAAAACAAAAAAACCACAGACGCCAACACTGTCCCTTAAGTGTAGAAATCTCTCACCAGTGGTTTTAGCTCCCACAGAGCTGAGACTTCTCAAAGCAAGTGGCTACTGAGAGCTCTGTTCTGGGGTGTGCACAGTGTAGCAAATGCTTGCTCTCTCACCACTCTAGAAAACACACTTGACTATACTGGCTGGAAGAACCCGGGCTTTCAAAAGTCAAGGGCACTTATACAAACTGACATACACATGCAGGAAAAAAATGCCCCTTGATATTTATAAGCATGAATATAACAACAAAATCAAAACTACTATTTTGTACCTATTTGAAATGTTAAGAAGACAGCACAATATAATATTTAAGTCTTGAGAAAAGAAATTATTCTTTTTTTTCCCAGAGATATATGCTTAAATATATAGAAATGAAATATAGTATTTGGGACTATATGTTTTGTTTTCTTCCCCTAAGAAGTTTGGGCTAGCCCAGAACTCAGTATATATAGCCCAGGGTAGCCCCAAATCCATGGCAATCTTCCTGCCTCAGGCTCCCTAGTGCTGACATTACATGCATGTGTCATCATACTTTGGAACTTCAAAATAATCTGCAACACAGAGAAGGTGGGCAGGAATATGACAAAAACAAGCTATGAGTGAATCACTGGTAAAGCTGGGCGAAGAGATCCAGGAGTTACCCTATTCTTCCTACTGTAACATTTCCACAATAACATTTAAAAACTCAGACTGTCTCCCACAATGTGAACAGGTTCACACCCGAAGTATCTAGCACTGAGACAAACAACGAAGAACTCAACGTAACAACAGTAGTCAAGTTTTCAGTGACCTCCAAACATAACAGAAGTTACTTACATGACAAGCCACCAATGCTCCAGTATTCCATCCAATCAAGATGATGGGTTTGTGTGGGAAATGGCTGTGAATCTTTGTGGCGAGAGGAAAAAAAAAAAAAGACAGTAAAAAAAAAAAGACTGTGCATGGACAGAGAACAGACCCACATGACTGGGTACACTTCAGTGACTAAACCTGGGCATTCTCACCTCCAGCACTTTGCTTCTCACTGTCCCAATCATGTGCTCAAGGCACTGCAGAACTCCTACCTCACCACCACTGTTCAGCAGATGGGTGGATACAGGGATGACCTACAGGGAAGAAAGGACATCCATGCCAAGCTAAGTTTCAAACATCAATTCTGCTTAACTTATCCCAAATTTCTTAGACAAGTGACACTTAGATGCTAAAATTAGAGTTAGGGGACAAACCACATTGAGTTCAACAAACTTGACATCCTCCCACATGGCTTTCTCTTTAATCCTCCAAGACTATACCATCACCTTGCCTAAGCAGGAAAGCTGCGACTGCCAGAAGCGCTGGCGGCGTGAGGCGGGGAGCACGGAGCTGGAGGGACCAGAGGAGGCGATGAGAATCAAAGGAGAACCAGGCAGTTTACTCTGAGGAGACAGAATCCCATCCAAAAACTGAGTGAGAGGTATTCATCTAGAAACTCCCAGCAAGTGTGTCCAAACGGTTCTTGAACCAAGCACTGATCCTTTCGCTCAGGGTGGAAGAGATGGCTCAGCAGTTAAGAGCACATACTGCTCTTCCAGAGAAGCTGAATGCAGTTCCCAGCACCCATATTAAGTTAAGGCCTCACAGCTGCCTATAACTCAGTTCCAGGTGATCCAAACCCTCTTCTGACCTTCATGAGCACCTGCACTCATATGCGTGCGCACTTGTGCAAGTGCACATACACACACACACACACACACTTTAAATAAATCTTTAAAAAGAACCCAAGCTATTAGTGAGAAAAGGCAGGCCACATATCTTCCTCCTGCCAAGCCTCTAGGGCTCAGTCTGAATATTTATGTGCACATAAAGACTGCTGATGTTAAGTCAAGGCTGAATACCCAACTTACTGGTTTGTTATGAGAAAGCACACCAACAGCAGGATCCCAGGGTCTCTTGAGGAGGAGTGACAAGGCCTCCGCTCCTGCAGCCCCAGTCTTTGTGTTGGATGACACAAGCATCCGGTCGATCAAAGTTGGGATCTACCAAAAAAAAAAAAAAAAAAAAAGGGGCACAAATGCTTTCAGTGTGAAGTGAGAATGAGACACCTTCCCTCCAGCAGCAATCTGCAGCAGGAAGAACCCCACTGAGCTCTGAGCTCTTATACACAGCCTCAAATCAATGCAGAGTGCGCTGTGAAAGGAAAGCGGAGTTGATCCTCTGAAGGCAAGCTGGTTGGATGCACCAAGGAACAAGTTTCTTCCACCTCCACCCCCATGACTGTACTTCAGAACTTTCTCATATCAGAAAGCACACAGCAATCATGGTGACTTATGCCTATATGATCCTAGCAATTGGGAGGTGAATGCAGGAGGATCAAAAATTCAAGATCAACTTCAGCTAGGGGGAGGAGGGGCAAGCAGCAACAGGAGGTGGGGAACACAGACATGACAGCCTGGGATACAAAAGACCCTGCTTCAACAAACAGACAAACAAACAAATAAAAATATGGATATAGCCTTCAAGTTGAAACATGTATAGTGAACCCTATTATTGTTTCCCCCAAATATATCCTACTATATTAGATATATCGCTTTATAACGTGCTGTTTTTAACTATTCCCCAGAAAAATGACCACACCAATATATAAATATAGGCTTCAGACATGCTGATGCTGCAAAGAAATATCTTCATAAATCCCACAATACCCACAGAGAAGTCAAAACAATCTCAAGGAAAGAAAAAAAAAAAAGATTTTTAGGTGTTAAAGGTAGTTTTCAGAGGAATTTTAAAAGGTTTCAGAGACTAGAGAATATGGTTTGAGGTAGACATAAAACTCCAAAGGCAGTAGGCTAAGACAAACTACTCTTAACTCAGGGGAGAAAGAGAAACAGACAGACAGACAGAGACATGCAGAGACAGAAAGACTGACTAGAAGCTGGGAGTAGCTCTTAACCTAGGATTTGCAATTTCTTTGCAATTAATTATTTTGGGTTTAATTTCCACCCAAAATAATTAACTAAAATAAAATGAACAATGCAGTGTGGTATGTTACTTGAAATCCCTCTTCTGGCCTCCATATAAATATGCTTCAGATAAATAAGCTTAATAAGATTTGAAATCTGGGTCCAGTACTCAGGAAGCAGAGGCAGAACGGTACCCAATTCAAGGTCAGAAAAGGGAAACCCTGTCTCAAAATAAGTAAATGAAGAAAGGGAGAAGGGACACTAACAGGAGCTCTGCATGAGACTTTGGAAAATTATCATCTCTAGACTGTGTCAGTTAATTCACACAGTTAACAAATACCTCAGCTGCTTTTACAAAGCAGCGAGCTAATCCTGCAAAGGGATTTAATCTCAAAGGGTAAGAAAGATAAACCAATGGGGTGGGGTGGGGTGGGGTGGGAGCAGGGGAGCCCTATACTGCTGACAGAGCCATCAACAGAATAAGGAAACAGGCAGTATCTGAAGCAGCAATCCATGAGCTGAAACAGGCTTAAGATAGGCAGGACTCCAATGTGACATGAGGTATGAGTTATTAGTAAAGGCACAGCTAGCTATGGTAGCCCATCCCAGTAATCCCAGAACTTGGGAAGCAGAGATAAGAGGATTAAAGCAAGTTCAAAGCCTTGCTTTAATTTGTTCACAGAGCAAATTCCAGGTCAGACAGGGTCCCAGTGAGATCCTGTCTCAAAACAAAAAGCAAGGATGTATAGAGCTTATTCCAGACCCAGGTGGACTTCAGTAACAGATCCAGCAAGGAAGTAGGAGTATGCAGTGACAAAGGTTAAAGACAAACAGCAAACGCTCACCACCCCAAACTGGCCATCCTTTATAACCCCTCTAACCCCGAGCCACCACTCAACATTGCACACACTGAGCTCACTTACACAGTCTCAATAGGCAGCAGTTACCAATGAAACTGAAAAGCTTTCAGGCTCACTGAAATCATGGAAAGTCAGCAGGAACCGATTCCACCGAAGAGCTAGAAGACCAAGCTCCCCAGCCCTTCCAGCCCTGTATTCATTCTGCTTCGATACAATTAAGACCCTGGGTTTGCTGTCCCTTCTCTGCTCTTTCATAATGAAAGTAAAGGTGAAGATAGCTGGACTAAGAGGAGAACCAGTTGCTGTATAATACCTAGCAATATTTTAAAGAAAACAATAGCATATTCATTAACAACGTTAAGCCTGGAGCTAGAGGAACCTGGAGGCCACAGCCCAGCGCAGACACACCTTATATTCAGTGTGCTCACTGACTGGCACACCAGACTCGCTGGTGTCATGCCATTCCAGCTAGCCTACCCTGGACCCCAGCAATATATCTAGAGAGCACTAGCACCCACTGTGCACACTTAAAAGAGTCCACAATAACTTAAACCAGAAGTAGCGCAGATTTGTCTCTTCAAGCAGAGGAAATCATATCTAAATCCTAGCCAGGGTTAAGTGTGGCAGAGCTTCACTAGTCACCAAATATACTTCTTGTTGCTCACTTCCGTGCCATTATAATACAAAGTAAGTATTAGGTGAATGAAAACATGAGGTCAAATATCTTACCACACACATAACTCTTGTATCTAGTCCTGAGATTTGTTTTACTTTGGTACACTACCAGATTTCTTCATCTTTCTAACAAACTCAGCATTCTGCAACTCCAAAAAAAAATTAAGATTAAGAAACAATGAAATTAGAAGCTTTGAGGACATGACTGGGCAAAGGCAAGGACCTGGGCTGTACACCATGTAAAAGAAAACAAAGTAAGAACTGAATTAAGAACCACTGCCTATGGCCATCTTGTGCTGGAACGAAGCACATGCTCCTCAAGCCCCTAAGAGAGCTACCTGAATAACCCTCAGTGTTATTGTGGGCTTCCCATTTGCTTGCTTTTGTGTCAAGAACTCTACCTCATTCACTAACTTAATTCCTACAGAAACTTGCAGTGTAGACCAAGCTCAAAGAGATGGAGATCCACCTGCCTCGACAGTTCTGGGATTAAAGACGTGTACCACCACACCCAGCCTACCATCCATCTCTTGTAAGGAGAGATTTTAAGTCAGGCAGTTCCTTGCTATGTAATCCCTGGCCCTCTGAGGAGTCACAGATCTGCTTCTCACACCTCCTTATCAACGGTCCTCCTCCACAAAACCCTCATCTCCTCCACCACAATTCAACTCAGCCATGACTCAAAGCATGAGCTGCAAGGCTATTGAGGTTAAATATGCATTTTTGGTTTCCAGATGCCATACCTCATCCGTAAGACGGCAGGACTGAAGAAATTTACACCAAACACAAACCTAAAATGATACCCTTTTCCCATTTTTAATAGTCAAACTGTTAGCCTCAACCATGCTGACCTGGTCACATGGATTGTCCAAACCTACATGCTGAACCCCCAACAAATACTGGATGCTGCTACCAGGTCCGAGCACCCTCTGGCTTACCTTCCCTTTCAGTGTCTGCAGCGCATCCAAGTACGCCGCCAGCATGGGCAGGCTCAGGGTCTCCACCAGGGTGGTGTGCAGCCACTGGGTCAGCTTGGTGTCCCAACTTACGCTTGCCAGAGCCTGCCGCACCCTCCTTGCACACTTGTCCACAGCAACACGACGTAGCACAGGCTCATTGCAAGCCTGAAAGATGTTCATGAAAAGAACAAAACAAGAGTTATACTCGGCAGCAAACTGGCAGGGAAGGAGCACATGGGACACAAATAGGCAGCCAGTGAGCCCTGAACTAAGAGAGTTAACTACAGACAAATCTCCAGTCTTACCCCTTCATTGGCCAAGCGTGCAAGCCGGTCAGATTGCAGGGCCTTGAGGATCTTGTTAAACAGCTTGTTCTGAGCCATTGTCCAGCCAGTCCTATAACAGAGATTCTGAGAAATTACAAGTGTAACCCTGAGGATGTTTCCCATGTATGTCCACCATATAAAGAGATGCTGTCATGTTTTTGTTCCAATTATGAAAGAGGCCAAGGTCACTGAGCTAAAGCATGAAATGAAATCTAGCTTTTGGTCCCAGTCATAGAGTTTTTCAGAGCTCAAAAAGCTAATTACTTATTTACTGGCTAAAATAATCATACTAGTAAGCAAAGACATGGTATCAGCGCAGACAGGTTTCAATTCTTCGTACTATTTATTTTCTAGACAGGGTCTCACTCCAACCCCTCCTCCTCAGCCTGCAGAGTGCTGTGATTACGACAGGCCACAGTGCGTGACTCAGCAGACATCTCAATGTGCTGCACTAGAAGCACGGGAGTACAGTAAGAGCTCTACTCAAGCCAGTTTGAAGAGCAAAGACATAACAGCACTACAAGCACAGTTCTCCAACGTCACAATATTGCACCCAACACAAGTTTTTTTCTTTTTCCACAGATTTTACATTTTTCTGTCACAAAAATTAGCACAGTAATGTTGACATTTTAGTATCCTAGCATATGACAATGCCATTAAAATATTTACCTCCTTACTGACAGCTTTCTGTGTCCTTCTACACCAGAATCAACTACAATTACAAGCCTATCTTACTGTTTTCAGCCCACACTTCACTACCAGCATGGCGGTTCATGCCTCACCTCACTCCCCTCCCAGCAACCTTAGTAATCTTGACATCAAACCATGACTAGTCATCTTAGAGGCAGGAGGAGAAAGGTAACAAAATATGTATTTAAACTTTACTCACTCTCCCTTCCATCAGGAAACTCCCAAGAAGCCAGGCATGGTGGCGCATACCTTTAATCCTAGCACGCAAGAGGCAGAGGCAGACAGATCTCTTTTGAGTTGGAGGCCAGCCTGGTCTACAAAGTGAGTTCCAAAGGGCTCTGCATAAAGAAACCCTGTCTCAAAAACAAAAAAGCCCAAATAAAGCAAACCAGACCTCCACTGCCTGGTAACAGATTTACATTTAGGGACTGGTGAGATGGCTCTGTGGGTCAAGTGATTACTACTGTGCAAGCATGAGGACCTAAGTCTGTATGGCTAATACCCACGTAAAGCTGGGCATGCTGACATGTATCTGTAACTTAGTGCTGGGAGGTGGGGAGAGAAAGAAGGATCCCAGGACTAACCAGTCAGCAAGGGCTTGGTTCAGTGACAGACCGTATTGTACGAACAGAGATTACAGGAAGATACCAGAAATCAATCTCTGGCCTCCACCTGTATAAACACAGGTAAGCACAGCTATATAGTCCACAGTATTCTTGAATACACATAGACATACATGCAGCACACACACACCAAACAAATAAAATGTAAAAAACAAAAGTTAAACTTCTTGTAATGAGCCATGTGGACGCCAGGATCTTCCCAAAGATTGTCACTCCTGGTTCAGGGTGCTCTTCGAGCCTGAGCAGCAACCCCCATTCCCTACACACAGGCATCAAGAGCAGCCCAGCACCTGCACCTTTTTCCTTTTCTGAGCTCAAACAGTAATGCCCTCTTTCCTACCTTCTAATGCTTCCTTGATCCCTCTTACCCCACTCTGGTATTCTCTAGCTCCATCTTTTCAGCTGTATCACCACCTCACATTCTAGCCACACTGTATGTATGGCTTCCTTTGTTAGAATGCAGAAGCCATGAAAGACAAGATTTTTATGGTCGAGTTTTAATGCTGTATCCCTAGTACATGCAACAAATGCCCAACACACTGAGGTATTAAATATCTGGGAATAAACAAACCAATTGTGCACACTACATTCTAAATGCTCTGAACAGCTAGCTTCATCCTGTTCCCACACACACACTCTACTAAGCACACAGGTTCTAAGCAACAAGAAGAACACAGCAGGAAGACTTACACTCAACATTCAACCAAGCTCTTTAACACTCTAAGGTGGTCAAGCTGCAGAGAAGCTACTTGACATGGTATCAACAGTCTCCATTTCTTAGCTCAGGGATCAGTATCTTTTCCATCACACCTTACCTTATTCATCAATATACTTCATTAAAAAAAAAAAAAAAGTGCTCGCTCTGGCAGCACATATACTAAAATTGGAACAATACAGAGAAGATTAGCATGGCCCCTGCGCAAGGATGACACGCAAATTCGTGAAGCCTTCCATATTTTTTAATTAATAAAAAATAAAAAAAAAAAGAAAGAAACAAACAATAAGCCTGGAAAGATGATTCAGAGGTTAAGAGCAATGACTGCTCTTCCAGAGGAGTCGGGTTCAATTCCCCACATGACGGCTCACAACTGTCTATAATTCCAGTTACATAGGTTCTGACACCCTCATACCAATACACATTAAATAAAATTGAAATTATTATGGGGCTGGAGAGATGGCTCAGAGGTTAAGAACACTGGCTGTTCTTCCAAAGGTCCTGAATTCAATTCTCAGCAACCAAATGGTGGCTTACAACCATCTATAGTGAGATCTGGTGCTCTCTTCTGCTGTGCAGGAATACATGCATATTCATTTCTATAGCTTATGGGTCTACAACTACTAGTATCACGGCCCAGGGACTATACAGATGAAGGACAAATTACCCTTTTAATTCATTCTGTTCAATTAACTGAACAAATATTTACTAGAAGCTCCTTTTCTCTCTGTAAAATAAAATCTCCACCTACCACACAACTTACATGGTCCAGGAGAAGCCTAACCAAGAGGCAGGACTTTATTCTATAAAGAAGAGGGAGCTGTGTATCAAGTCTTCTTGTTTAAAAACAGACATGGACTAGATGATCTCTAAGTTACTTAAAATTCAGGTTAGTTATGAACGAGAGGAAGCAGGCAACCCCTCTTCAGAAATGCCATCACCTCCCACCTTGGTAATAGAGACCTAGCCTCACCAAGTATCCTCCTGCTAAGTTAGGGCCCTGTTCTCCTTTTCTTGAGACAGACTATCAAACCTCTCAAGTTGACCTCAAACTTATATATCCAGGCTCACCTCCAGCCCTTGGTCTGCCTGTTTCCAGCTCTCGAAAGCTGGGATTACAGGAATGCAATATCACACCTTGCTAGCCTCGCCTCCTTCTATCTGCAAAGCTTTCCCTGCAACAGGTAAATCCCTTCTGAGCTCCCATTATTTACCCTCTTGTAATAACTGTGGAGGTAACTAGAAGCCGCCTTAGGTTCCTAGACTGTGTTTTTTCTCTTTTCCCCTAGTTCTCTTGGCATGACATAGAATCGTGTCTATATTTGTTGTGGTTTGTTACTTAAAGAGACAAATATTTTTTGAGTATTTTCACAAACAATTTGGAAATGTAGACTGAAAGCCTTAGCTCCATTTGGAAAAGGCTTGTTGGTCCCTAGCCCGTTGGTTCATACTCCTTTTCCTTCTGGTACTGAAATGCACAGCGCATTTACCCTAGTAGCATCTCTCCATGTACAGTGACTCTCAGGTGAGCTTGAGGCTTGATGTGTAGAGGTTGGGAGGAAACAGAATGTTCACAAACAGTATAAAAAAAAAAAGCTTCCTGGAGACATAATGTACTGCTTGTTATTTAATCATTGGTTAAATTTTACCCTATTTTTTGGGGGAAAGGGGATTCAAGAGAAGATTTCTGTGTAGTCCTGACTACACTGGAACTCTACAGACAAGGCTGGCCTAAAACTTAAGAGATCCGCCTGCTTCTGTCTCTCAAGTGCTGGAACTAAAGACACTCAACTGCACCATCCAACTGAATTCTACCCTATCTGTAAGCACTAAGATTATACACGTGTGGTGTATAAATCTATATGCATGTGGGTGAGGTGTCCATGTGTGCACATGTGGAAGCCAGAGGTAGAATTTGGGTGGCCTATATTTCTCCATATTGTTTTTTGAAACAGGTTCTCTCACTGACTCAATGCTTGGCTAAATGGCTGGCCAGTAAGTTTCAAGGCTCTCCTCTTCCTCCAACACTGGGGTCACAGACGTGTCACTCTGACCAGCTTTTTTTTCACAAAGATGCTAAGGATCCAAACTCAGGATCTGGTGCTTACACAGCAAGCACTTTATCCTCTGAGCCATCACCTCAACCTTTCCTTATTCTTTTTTTACCCTATTTTCATGATGAAATCAAAATGATATGAGGAAGAAACATGATCTGAACAAAAGAGGAAAGCTAAAAATCTATTTAGAAATGACTACAACACATGAAATTAAATTTGAAAGCCGAAACATTTGAGAGTCTACACGCTCAGAAAAATTCTTAGGATTGTTGCTGCACATACAACAATTGACCCAGGAACTGAAATGTGTTCTATGCATTGTCAGCTTTGTGAGAGGCTAAAAAATTAAATGGGCGGGGGGGGGGGTGTCTAACCCAAGATTAAGATAAAGAGTGTGCTAAAGATATAATTAAGGAAAAATTCAAAAACAGGAAAGCAAATTTTAATTATGAGCCTCAACAGGCAGGGAGCCGATGGGAACGATGGTGAGTCAACTGACCCCTCCTCCCCTTGGGCCTAAATCTATTTAATTTTCATGAGTGCAAGAAATGTACTTTCTTTATTTCACAGATGAGATCAGTCTTTTGTTTTCTTTAGTCTGACCAACCTGAATGATATGCTGACCTCAGGCTCGTCATAGTTAAAGTAAAATAACATACTGGTCCTAGAAAACCTGACTCACTCTTTCTTTTTCTCTCTCCCTCTCTTTCTTTCTGAGACAAAAGTTTATAACCCACACTGGCCTCAAATATGGATCCTTCTATCTTTGTTTCCCAAAAGCTGAGATTATAGACATATACCACAAAACCAGGCAAACCAGTATTTTCAAAGGTAATTATTAATTCCCTGATTCTGTTCCAAGGGAGACTGATTTAATGTAAAAATGTCAACAGGAAGCCAGGTGTGGTGGTGCATGCCTTTAATCCCAGCACTCAGGAGGCAGAAGTAGGTGGAGCTGTGATTTGAGGCCAGCAGAGTCTACAAAGTGAGTCCAGGACAGCCAAGGCTACAAAGAGAAACCCTGTCTTGAAAAAAAAAAAAAAAAAAAAAGAAATTTTTTAAAAGATTTAGTTTTATGTGTATAAATGTTTTGCTTTCACGTATGCATATGCATACGTGGTGCCCAGAGGCCAGAAAAGGGCCCTGAATACCATGAAACCGGAGTTAGGGTGTGTGCAAGCCACACGGGTGCTGGGAACAGAAACCTGGCCCTCTGCAAGAAGAGCAAATGCTCTTAATTGCTGACCCACCTCTCCGAACCCCAGGGCTCTTGTGTCTATGTGTGCGTGGGGTATGTGCGACATATTTAGGAGGGGCATGTGCCATGCCACTTACACAGCCAGAAAATGACTCTGTGGAGTGGCTTCTCTCCTTCCAGCCTACATGGGCTCCGTGACTGAGCTCCAGTTGTCAGACTTGCACCCGGTTTGTTTTGTCAACTGCCATCTCACTGCCCGTCTAAGGAATTTACTTACTTATTTTTATTTGTTTGTTTGTTTGTTTGTTTGTTTGATTTTTAGTCCTCTCTACATAGGCCCAGCTGTCCTAGAACTTTCTAGGAAGAACAGGCTGGCTTTCAAACTCAGAAGTCTACCTGCTTCTGCCTCTCACACACTGGAAACCACTATGTGTAAAGAAAATTTTTAAGTGAAAGTCAACAAGGATAAGACAAAGAACATCAACCAAGTCACACAATTAAGAAAGGAAAAAATTAAAAAAGGAAAAAGAAAACGGGCCAAGCAGTAAGGAACCAGAGAAAACAACTCAAAGATCTCAAACTTGAAATATCAAACATACAACCAGATACACACACACACACACGTCTTAGTATAGAGTATCATAGCATACACATATCATAGTATATAACCACACAAAGTTCAGAAAAGGAGAATGGGAAGCCTTTTGGTTGAAATTCTGAAGTTCTAATTTCTAAGATACAATAGCTTACTTTCCAATGCTGAGTTGTTTTCAAACTAAAATGGTAGCTGTTTTAAACTCATCTGACTGTGCTGGGTGGTACTGATGCACACCTTTAGTACCATCACTCAGGGAGGCAGAGGCAGATGGATCTCTGAATTTGAGGACAGCCTGGTCTACACAGTGAATTCCAGGACAGCCAGGGCTACATGGAGAAATCCAGTATTAAAAAACAAAACAAAGAGCTGGGTAGGGTGGTGCAAGCCTTGAATCCCAGCACTCTGGGAGGCAGAGGCACGTTTATCTCTGTGAGTTCAAGGCTAGCCTAATCTACAAAGTCCAGGACAGCCAAGGTTGCACAGAGAAGCCCTGTCTGGAAAACAAAAGCCACGCCTCATCTAAGCAAATACCTTATGTTTTGTCAAGTATCTTCCCAAAGGCAGTGCATCTAACACAACTTTCCATAAACAGACTGGGTGGGAGAGGAATGCAGGTGGCCCAACATCTTCAGGATTATATTACTTTGCCACTAAATAGAACTCTCAAAGAGCCTCTGTTTTTATATGACTGACACACAGACAAAACACAGCATGACCTAGACCCAGTTAGCTATCTACTTGGATAAGATACTATAAACACATGAGGACTGTAGAACATATGGTCCCCAACCCCACTATGAAACTCTTGTTCAGTGCAAGAGCAGCCATGGGCAATAGCTGTATTCCAATAATTGGTATTCATAGACACTGAAGTGAAAATTTTGTGTGTCATGAAATAACATTTTCCCCAACCACTTAAAAACATAAAAAACAACAAAAACAAAAACAAACAAACAACAACAACAACAACAACAACAACAAAACTACTCTTATGGCATACAAAAGCAAAAGACAACTCTGGCACATGGGTCAGTTTGACAACCCCTGCCTATTCTACACAATTAAGCAGAGATACTAGGATTAGGTAGTGTGTAGTGAGAATTATGATTTGCCTCAAGCTCTCGCAGGGGCGTGATTTTGCCAGCTGCAGAGAGTTTACATATGGAATTCTAGGACTCTTAAGAAGGACTAAATGGGCCAGAGTCCCAGGAGGCTGCAGCTGCTCCCTCTGGTGCTGCTTTTGCTGGTTGCTGATTGCTTTTGTTGTTTGCTGGATTGTAGGTTGGAGATACTGACAAAGAAGATCAAATTTACCTCAAAGAGCCTGACATCCCTAATCAGCAGGAAATAGTCTAATGAGATCTATGTCCCCTTTCCCCTTTATCCTTCTTTCTCTCCTACCTATGGGGGGGGGGGGGCTGGGATAGGGATGGTGTAGGAAGGTAGGAAAAAGAACCCAATAAAGTAACCAAAAAGCCTGGCTACAGTGGTGGTAGTAGATTGTTTCCTACACCCAAAACAATCTGTGGGCAGTTTCTACTGAGTAATTCAAGAGGTGGGGAAAAGAGCCCCAACAAAGAATGGGAAGTTTCTGACAAGCCTGTATGCCAGTAGTCCCTCTGAAGATAAAAATCTCGATTCTAGGGTGCTGTGCTATAGAGCTGTCCATGAAGTTCTCAGTGTGGGAAACTGTAATTTAACATGGCTTACACAGGAAGAAAGGAAGCAGCAACTTAACAATCAAGGGAAACAGGGCAGTAAGATGATTATAATCATAGCAGAGGCAACGGAAATCTTTCAAACAAACTACAGAACAATGATGACCTCTTTAGCTAATAAAGTAAGTACTAACAATGAAACCAGCTACCTGCACAAGTGACCTAACTAATGAGATAGCTTAATGGCTGTTGCTAATAGGACACCTCCCAAATCTTACCAAGACACAGTAACAGTTTATTTCAGAGTAACAAAACCCTATCAGAGTGCAGTGGGGTCCTAACTGAAGGATGAAGCTCACTCTTGAGACTGGAGAAAGACAAGCCAAAAATAGGATCTCTCAGGTGTTTTCTGAAGCACTCAGGAGGTGCACGGGCATCTGGTCTACTTGGTGTGTCCATCTTCCTGTAAAGATCCTCCATTCACCCACCCCCTATGGAACACAATCGCTTCTCAGACTTTTCTACACACCCTGGCCAAGTATTCCACTATCTCTTCTGCTTTGCAGTCTTCTCTTTCCTTATAAATTAAGAAATTAGTGACCACACTGATGGCACGTGCTTTGGCCTTCACAGTAAAACCATGTATAAAAATAAAGAAAAGGCACGTGGTGACACACACCTATCATCCCAGGACATAGCTGAGGCACAGGATCAGGAGTGCAAGGTCAACCTATGTTACAACAGAGACCCTGTCTCAACAGTCAATAAAGGGGTAGAGATAGCTCAACAGTTGTGAACACTTGCTGATCTTCCAAAGGACTAGGGATCAGTTCACAGCATCCACAGTCTCCTAAGTACCTTCAGCTCCAGAAGATCCAACAACCTCTTCTGGCTTCCAAGGGTACCCACCACATTCGGCATACATTGGCATACACTCAAGACACATATCCATTAATATAAAATGCGTCTTTGAAAAGGAGTGACTGAAGGCACTGTTATGTACTATGAAGTCTAATGACTTTAATAAACATAATCAAGGGTTAACTGATTTTTACCATGCATGTCTGTCTGAGACTGTCAGATTCCCTGGAATTGGAGTCACAAACAAGTGTGAACTGCCAGATGGGTCCTGCGAATTGAACCTGGGTCCTCTGAAAGAGAAGTCAGTGATCTTAACTGCTGAGCCATTCTTCAGCCCCTGTGCTCCTATTTTCTAATAGTTGTATTTTTCTATTTTTAACTGTGTATGTGTGTACACATATGTGTGTGGATGTGCAAGCAGGTGTCCAAGTAGGCCAGAGGCACCCTTGGTCCTCTAAGGAGGAGTACATACTCTGAACCTCTGCACCATCTCTTTAGCCTCTCTCACCATTTTTAAAAATTAAGTTCTGTCATGGAGTTATATCCCCAACCTTGCAATCTGGATTTTAAATCAATTCAAGCATTTTAGCTTTGCATGTGATTCCAAAACATTTACTACTGTAACTGTAGATCATATAAATGCAAATTTTACAAGCATAAATTTAGCTTTTTTAGGTAGGTTGGGCATTTCTTCCATTGCAAAACCTCTAGTTAGTCACACCTATGCCCAGCCAGCCAATTTATGGCTTTGTGGTGCTGGGGCCTCATACACACCAGGAAAAGTTTCACCACTGTGCTATATCCCCTACCCCCACTTCTGATAAAAAGATTAGAGTTCACTATGCTGCCCACACTTGTCTTGAGTTCAAGTGCTCCTCCTGCTTAGGCCTTCCACAACGCTGCAACTACAGACATCTGTCACTACACACAACAGCCACTGTGCTGTAGTTAGGGAAGCAGCTGAGATGCATCCCTAATCCCAGCTAGTTAGGGCAGTGGGCGGAGACACAGTGCACAGTGAGGAGAACATCCCACTTACATGGCCGTAGTGAACTGTTTCAATGAAGATGATACCAAAGAATGACAAACACTAACCATTAACCCCAAAGTCAACCTAGCAAGGAGTGGCCTACCTGTTGACATGTTCTTCCCAGTCTTCTGGTGGGGGAGGGGCATCTGCATCTGTCCTGGCGAAGATAACATGCCGCTCACACTCATTCATCACGCTTCGTGCCTTCTGATTGTCATAGAGTGGAACAGGAGTTGACGTGACCGTCTCCACATCTATTGGAACGTCTGATTCACTGTAAACAGGTGAGGAAATAGGACCAAGCCACACACACTTCACACAACACAGTGCTTAACAATCATCTGGTTGCCAAATTTTAAAAAAATGTCTACTGAACATCATTAGTTTTAAATGATTTTTATATCCACAAGAAAATTTTGATCCAGTCATCTTCCCAGACTCTCATGTAGCTCTCACCTTTCCCTGGTGTGTGCCAGGGAAATGCAAGGTCATTACACTTTTAGTAGCTTTGGTTTTTCTTTTGAAACAGTTTCACACTGGCCTGCAATTGACCACGTTGCCATGTAACCATGTTGGCTATTTTTGCACTTGGTTGTTACTGTTTCATTTAAGATTTAAAAACAAACTATAAGTGGGAGTATGTGCATGTGGGCTCAAGTGCACAGAGGCCAGAGGCATCTGACACCGATGCTTGGACTGAATCTGGGTCCTCTGCAAGGGCAGTCTGTGATCGTAACTGTTGGCCCATCTCTCTCCAGCTACTAGCCTTAACCTTGACACTCTCCTTGTCTCAGCCTTACCAAGGGCTGGGATTATAGGCATGAGCCACCACACCTTTCTCCAAAGTCTTTTGCAGCTAGACAAAAAGTAACAAGCAGATATTTAAATATATATATATATATATATCCATGAGCAAATAACTGGCTATCTACACATAAGGACCAAAGACAGAAGCTATAAACCACAAGTGGCTATTTAAACTGATTAAAACAAAACAGAATTAAAAATTCAATTCCTCAGAGCTGGAGAGATGGCTCAGCAGTTAAGAGTGCCTGCTGCTCTTACAAAGGACCCAAGTTTGATTCCTAGCACAAACATGGGGTGACTAACAACCACCTAATTCTAGACCCAGGGGGAACGGATGCTTCTAACCGCTAAGGACACTGGCACTCAATGAACATATCCATACTCATAAAGACAATTAAAAATAAATCTTCCAATACAGTAATTCAGTTCCTCAATCACTGACTCTCATTTTAGGAAAACATCATGAGATACAAACACAAAGCAAGTTTTACACACTAAAATAAATAAATAAATAGGAATCAGATTCTACTTAAAGAAGGTTTTCAGTCATGCCCCAGGCCGGAGGCATCAGGATTATGCTAGATTGTTCCCCCAAGGACCTTGAGGAAAAGGAAAGCCAACAAAACATTACTATCATTAGGCAGGAAGCATCAGGATTATGCTAGATTGTTCCCCCAAGGACCTTGAGGAAAAGAAAGCCAACAAAATGTTACTATCATTAGGAAATAAAAACTCACTCTTCTGAGTTGGGTGTTGGTGTAGGTCTTTAACGCTAACACGTGGGAAGCAGAGGCAGTCAAATCTCTGTGAGCCAGCCTGGTCTACAGAGAGACTCTGTCTCGAACAAACAAATAAACAAACCACTCTTCTAAGCCACACCTCTGACTGCAATCTTAAATAGGAAGGTCAAAAATTTGCTGCCAATCTGAATTACTCAGCAAGTGCCAGGCTAGCCAGGAGTGCACAGTAAGACCCTGTCTCAAACACACACAGGCGGGCACGCGCGCGCGCGCGCACACACACACACAAACACACACACTAATCAAGGTGGCATACACTTATAATCCTAGCACCTGAGAGGTGTATGGAGGGAGATCAAGAGTTCAAAATCATCTTAAGTTACACTATTGTCTGGGGGAGGGGGGGGTGCGTGTGAGAGAGAGATAGAGAACACAGAACAAACTTCAAACTCCAGAGAGAGAGAGAAAACACAAAAACGTCAAAACTCCAACAAACAAACAAAAACATCTTCTACACATTTAACGCTCCCTCTACCTCATTAAGACTCAAGGTGAGTGTGTGTATAGAACGCAAAGGAAAAACAAAACGCTATGCTTGATGAAAGATTAAACATGAAGTCAAAACAAAAACAAACTCAAAATCTCTTATCCAAAAACTTGTAACGATCAGACTAGAACATTTGAACAAATCCTGATATGGGTGAAATTAGAAGGTTCAAAATAATTACTTAGGTAAATGTAACCAAATCACTTATCAGAGAGTAAATTTTTGAAATGTTCTTATCCTCTAACATGGGGTGGCTGGAAATGAGATTTAGGAAGGGTTTAGAGTAAGCCACAGGTGGCTTTCTGTGGGGAGGTAACAATGAAGGCAATGCTTTGGGAACTCAGAGCGTTTACACTGAAGCCAGGGACCTCAAACAATAGATTATAGCCACTGTCAAGCAAATAAGATGCTTCAGTAAACTGGGAAGGAAATTCTTCAGCTTCCTCTTTCCATACAAGTTTTATTACTCTTATCCAAATGGACTAAGCTGTATTTCCATTCCCATATCTCGCTTTTCTTATTCACATTTGGAAATGTCTGTGAAGATGTCCATACTTGCCCTGATGTGCTTATGCTACTCATCCAAGCTCTCCAGTCACCCTTCACCCCCAATCATTCCCACGAGCACCTCTCTAATCCCCACCACATGATCACTGCCACCGTTCGGCAGAAGTAGCCCTTAAGAAGGAAACCCAAACTCACATGGCGTTCTCAAACTCACATAGTATTCTCCTGCTGCCGACGGGGCGTTACAAAGAGCATGCGGGTGGGGCGGGCACTACTGGCATCCGGGTGGGCACTCCATGGCTTTGCATAGCTATGATCCAGGAAAACGAGGTCCAGTTCCCGCTCATGCACTGAAAGCTGGAAGAGCAGGGAGGTCCCCATCCGGCGGGCTGAAGTCTGGAAGTCCCTCTCCCCACCCCGGTGGGCCATGTCAGTAGCCGGCAGCCAAGTCAGGGTGCAAACATCTGCATGCTAGTCACCTGCAGTGAAATTCGGCTGTCAGTTCGGTATCTTCACTTTGTCCCACCTTAACACTATCAAGACACGCTTTTATGCCTCACTATCATTTGTGCCATGTATTACGCACATCTCTGCCCTCCAAGGGAACAGTTCCCTCACCACTACCAGAAAGGTGCTGGTGGCAAACAAAAATCCACAATTATGTAACTGTAAACTGACAAGATTCCACAGCTCACAAAGACATGAACTCTGCAAGTCGTGGCGGTGTGTGCCTTTAATCCCTGCACCCGGGAAGCAGAAGCCAAACGGATGTCTGTGAGTTTGAAGACAGCCTGGTGGCCTGGTGTACAAGAGTGAGCTCCAGCCAGAGCTACACAGTGAGATCTCCTCTCAAAAGAAAGAAAAAAAAAAAAAAAAAGGCAAAGCAAAAACCAAAGACCTAAATTTGCTGGGCGATTTCCTTCCTGGGTGGTAATCACGAATTCTGCAAAGGCTGAAGATCCCTACTCTCCACCCTCTAAAGAGGACGTGGACAGGGCCGGTTGGCTCGGGCGCCCCTGGAACAACAGGCTGGCACCGCGGGCCTCCAGGAAGCTGGCTGCAGCCAAGGGCTCCAGACCTCGCCGCTTTGGGCTGAGATGGAGGGGAGCCTCCCGGGGTCACGCTCCACCAACCTTGCACCGACCTCATGTTAGCCTCAGTTTCGAAAAGACAAAATCGAGCGCCCGTGCCGGGACCGGCCCTCAGGAGGCCTTTCCTCCTCAGCCCTCCCTCGCCGCGGCGCCCGGCAAACTGACCGCTCCTTCCAGGGGTTCCCGCCACCGAACCACAAAACCTCCAAACGGCCCACCGGGCGGCCACGGCGGCGGCTCGGGGGGCCACGGCGACTTGGCCAAGGTCATCCCGAGTTCCCGACGAGGAGGAGCCGCCCGGCCCCGCCTCCCCGGGCCCTTCCCGGCCCCGCGCCTCGG